TATACATCACATCCTAACAGTAAACAATATACTGATCATTTATCTCTTTGCTTTGTCAGGAACAAGTCGGGAATCTGGGGCTGGCGTTCTGAGAAGAGCGAGATGGTCAGTGGATACGAAGCTAAGGTAGGTGTCAGCTTAGCCAACATAGCTCCGATGCTTTCTCTGTTGTTTGCACTCAATTAACATTTATAGCTTGAAGGAGTGTTAATGAAATGAAGTCTTTTTTTTTAAGGTTTACAGTGCTACCAATGTGGAGCTGGTGACGCGGTCGAGGACAGAGCATCTATCAGATCAGGACAAATCAAGAAGCAAAGGTCAGAACACTAAATTGGGCCTTTACTTTTGGCTCCAAAAAAATTGAGAACTATATGAGAGGGACTCACTTGATGCAAGATGAAATTGTGAAACATTAGATTTGAACACAATACCTGTTATAAGTGTATCATATAGTTTTGTGTGTTTAGTGTCTCATGTTTTCCATAAAGTGAACAATTGGAGTAAAAATAGAGCAAATTTGTTGATGATCTCTCTGCATTGTTCCCACTCAGGCTCAAAGACTCCTCTGCAGTCCTTCTTGGGGATTGCTGAACAGCATACAGCTCACAATGGGGTAAGAGTCTCCACAGTACCTGTGCGGCACATCCGCACTCACCGCCCACACCGCCTGCCGCGTCCTCTGACTAACAGCATCACTTACTGTCTCTCTGTATTTCTCTCAGAGTAACGTGTCACAGTGTGCCAGTCCTCACAACCCTACCGCCATCACAGCTGAGGAGTACTTCAACCCAGAGTTCAACCTGAATGGCCGAGACATCGGACGTCCTGTAGAGCTCACCAGCAAAGTCCAGAGGTACGGTGAAGCAGCAGCACAGATGTGTGTCACCAAATCAGTGGCAGAGAGGCCACAGTGTGGACATGCTACATATGTGTGAAATAAACCAAATAGGTTTTATGTTAATAAATAATAAAACAGACGGTGGTGCCAGTGGATGAGTTATGTCACTGGTACGTACCTGAACACAGACTACCTCTGCAACCTAAATCGGCAGCACTTAAATGACCAGAACATGAAACTCTGTCTGCCGCCTCTCCAGGTTTAAAGCGACCCTGTGGCTGAGTGAGACTCACCCTCTGTCCCTGGCCGAGCAGGTGACGCCCATCATCGACCTCATGGCCATCTCCAATGCTCACTTCGCCAAGCTGCGTGACTTCATAACTCTACGCCTGCCGCCAGGATTCCCTGTTAAAATAGGTGAGTGCGAGAGATCAACTCAGTCTGCCGCTTGTGAGTAGGTGGGTCAATGTCCTGAGTGGTTCAAGCCCCCTTGTTGATCAAAACACTGATTCCAGATCAGCTCCAGGCCACTTCATCTGTAGACGTCATTCTGTACAACAGCTGCTGCTTGACGTTCACATATTAGAACTAAAATAATGAGAACTAAAGCATTTCACTTTTTTCATCCATGATTCTTCCTGAATGTTTCATGTAACTTACCACTGGTGCAGCAATACTCAGCAAATTAAATGTCTGGTGGTGGCACCTCCACTTTTTTGAGCCATTACTTTTGAATGTACAATACTGGTCATTATGACGGTTTCTGAATTGAACTTGTCTTCCAGAAATTCCCCTTTTTCACGTGTTGAACGCCAGAGTGACGTTTAGTAACCTGTGTGGCTGCGATGAGCCGGTCAGCTCGGTGACGGTTCATAATCCAGAGAGCTCCGAAGAGGCTGGTAAATATAGACACGCACACACATGCACACGCGCATGGTGACTGGTATTGGACTCCAGTAACACTGTAACCTATCTTCACTCAGGTCAGTCTACCCCTCCCTTCCACTGTGAGGTGGACCCCTCAGTGTTCGAGCCCCCTCCAGACTACACCACCCTTGGTCCAGGCCGTACTGAGCCAATGAGGGACGAGGATGACAACCTGCTGCAGTTTGCCATCCAGCAGAGCCTGCTGGACGCCGGTACAGAGAGTGACCAGGTCAGAGAATTCATTATTTGTCAGTTGTGTGTCAGATGTTGGATCTTATTCCCTTTTTTTTTTATTTTTTAAAATTTTTTAAATTTTTCTTTTTGGCAGGTCATAGTTGCACGTCAGAACAAAATGACATTTTGTACTGTTCACTGCTTTTGTTCTTTCTTTCCCTTTGTGCCCCAATAAACCTTTTAAAAGCTAATGATAGTTCTTGAGTGACCCTACAGGGTTCTCTTGCCTGAAAATGCAGTTCAAACATTTACGTCTGGTTTTTAGGTGACCATCTGGGAGGCCCTGACCAACAGCCGCCCCGTGCCACAGTCTCCACTGTACGAGGAAGACTCTCAGCTGGAGAGGTGAGCTGACATATGCTGTCTGAATGTTACTGGTCCTGCTTTCCTTTACAGGGAGATTCACTCTGCTCAAACTGGAGCGACGACTCCTTGTTCATAATTTTTCCATTAATATGTTTAGGCCTTTAGTAATAAAGTCTCTACAGAAACCAGAGATTCAGTTAAAAGGGTAAATATTTGATGATTTTTTTTGTACATTGTGAACAGAGAATAACAAGAATGAGGTGAAGGAAAGAAAGTATTGTTCAGAGTTTATATGAAAAAGGAGCATTTGTAGTTTTCATTGTAAAACCATCAGGTTTCATTCTGCCTCTTCATGTTTTAGTCGTACTCAGGGAAATCTCTGGCGTGTGATGTAATTTAATTAAACTTCTTCTAATAGTATTCAGTGATTAGCCCTTTCTTTCCACTTTCTCTTGGGAACAGTGTCTCCCAGTCATCCTGTAATGAAGCCCTTGTTTAATAATGTTTAATTTTAAGTCTTAATCTCCCTCATTTTCTCAGGGCGATCCAGGAGTCTCTGTGCATCTCACTGGCCAGCAGAGAGGGCGAGGACACGGCCGACCCCAGCCAGCCCACCTCCGTCTCCCCGCTGGACCCCATCGCCAATTCCCCGCCTTCTTACAGCACAGGGACCGAGCCACAGTTGCCGGGCCACTTTGGCGAGGCGACGAGCTTCGACGAGCAGCTGCGTATCGCCATGGAGCTGTCGTGCAGGGAGCAGGAGGAGATAGACAGGTGAAGCAGAGGAAATACAAAACAGAACTTTAATTTTGCAGACAGTTTTCACACATTTTGATTTTGTTGCATCACGACTGTAGTGAGTAAATTTTAGATGCTGTTCAGCCAAAGAGAACTCAAAAGGAAAACAGGGAAACAATGTCCGTCCGTTCATCTCTTTTCTTTACCTGCTTCTCTTAAGTCGAATGGCCAGTCTGTCACATATCTAATGTCAATGTAGACAAGCAAACACAATTACCTGTCACATATGAACAACGTAGCAGGAGATTGTCTTGTCTGCACTCATGACAACAGGAAAATCTCACGACTGTGGAAATCCCAAGTTTTTGTTTATAGCACATCAACACATCTTGTTGTTTTTCCAAGTTGACATCTTTTTCATTCAGAGATATTTGTATTCTTGTTTTTGTTTTGTCTCCTTCACTTACTGTAGGTGAATTCTGACATTATCCTGTTTTCTCACATGGGCTCACAGAGATATTCTCCGGGGGCTGGCAGGAAAAACTCTTGCTTGTTAGAAGCAACTGACTCTGGAGAATATCCCAGGGTTCAGTGCATGTGCAGCTTTAAATTCTCATCTGTGGTTCACACGACCTGCATGTTTACCCTTTGACTCTGGGAGAAAACAAGAGCACCCAGGGAAATTTCACACACCATTGCACCACCACCACCACCACCACACAGTTTATAGAGCAGTGTTTCCTTCAGTCTCTTTAATCAGTGACCTAGATTGAATTCTGGGAAACAGAGATGATGGTGTTCATGAGGAAATCTCTTAAATTTTCCTGGTTAAAAAACACCTGAAGTAACCGATGACATTTAACATGTCTCTTCTGGTGTCTGTTTACTGAACCTTATATTATCTACTGAAATAAATTAACACATTCTCTGGCCTTATCAATGCTTCCAAGCAACTATTAGAACTAAATATTAAACTACAGTTTTTGCTGGTGGTGGTTTATTTATGTGACTAAGTTTGTCAGATTGATAATGAGCCGTGAAATCATTCTCTGCATTTCACTATTTATTTATTTTAACTTATGTATGACGTGCACGAAGTTTTATACTAAAATGAATGAATAACATCATCTGCTGTTCTTTGTTTGAAATTAAACTTCAGCAATGGCTCGGAAGAGTAATCTATTCTTTAAAAGTAATAATAATTTCAATATTTTCATTACTGATTAGCTTTCTTTTTAATTGTTTGTCACAGGAAGCAGAAGGAGGAAGAGGAGGAGCTGGAGCGGATCCTACAGCTGTCACTCACCGAGAAGTAATGTCACGGCAGCAATGGGGGGGGGCGGGTCTTCACTGGGGGAATGGTCCTCTTTAATTTATTCAGTTTTAATTTTTTAAATCCAGAGATATTAAGTTATTGCAGATATTTTATTTGTCTTTCACACACGAGGGCTGCTACAGAAGATCGCACAGGACCAGAGTAAAAGAAAATGTGAGTGAAGCAGGTGGGAGGGATGAAAAAAGAACACATACTGAAACACACTACAGCAAAGAACGAGACAAAAGGGAGATTATTTGTTTTATTCCTTTTTTTTTTATTGACTATTTTTCACAGTCTTGCTGTCTTTGAGTGATAAATGATCCTGAAACTTTAAACCTATGAAATGATAATGAAAAAAAAAATGAAAATACAATCTTAATGGAATAACCTATGAAGATATGATTATAATATTTAAACATTTACGTTGGCTTACTCCTATGTGTGAAAAATAAAGGATAATGATCATCCTGGAATATTGTTATTTTCTTTTCCTTTACCGTTCATAAACAAAGGAGGAAGCAGAAGATCCATGTGTATCTGACGTGTGGTAGTTTAATAGTTTTTCGAATTGACACAAGGTATGTATTTGATATGTATTTGATATGTACTTGTTTCTTCTTGTGTGATAGTGTGGGAAATCTTTGCCAGTGCCCCCTTCGAGTAATCGAGAACATTTTAATTTAGCTGCCACATTTTTCTATCTTAAGGGCATTTTTAAGGGATTTTCAGAACACTCAAAAGAGCAGAAGTTGGTCATCCCACATGGAAACTTGCAGAAGTTGAAGGCTGCACAAGTAACAACAGCTTGACTCCTTGTCCGCTGTGCTGAGCAGGAGTGGGACTTTTCTTCCTCCTCGCCACTTCAATCTGTAAGTTTTAAACTTGTTAAAATTGTCCAACTGACCTGGACAAAAACACACCTCACACACACACACCTTAAAGGGATAGTTCACTGAAAAATGAAAATTCACTCATCGCAATGCCACTACGGTGTAAATGACCTAGTTCTGAGTTGAATATGAATGTTGGGGCCTGCGGACACTTGGATGACACCACACAAGCAGTATGGAGGCATGTTGTTTTTTTCTGTTATAGTACGTCTGAAGAAGGACTCACCATTTACTTCACTTGGATTCTGCTGCAACAAAGTTTACCCCTGAAACTTGTGAAGTGTTTTGTGGACTCCAACATTTCACCCGCCCCTCCATCGGCATGGTGGTGTGTAGATAATGAGTGAATTTTTATTTTTCTGTGAACTATCCCTTTACAGCTCTGGTGTTAAAATCCAATACTCTCACTCATTCTCACCCATATGTAGGTTTTGATAATCAGGCTTGTCGTCCTCAGGAACCAAATACTCATCCTCCGCTGGTTTAGTTGGAGGGAGCTCGAGCTTCTCTTGGGGTTGTGGCCGCAGCATTGGCGCCACTTGTGCCTTGGGCACTGTATTAGATGGAGGTGAGGTGATGCTGATGCAGTTTGGAGCCGGTGAAACCTCTGCACACATAAACACAGTGAGGAGCTGTGTCCTCATACTGAGACTATTCCTGAAAGCAGCGTTCTCACCAATTTGAGTGTCGTAGTGCTCAGGCGTCACGTAGGGATGAAGGCGGTGCTCTGTCTTTTCAAGGAAGTATTTCAATACTTCATTCAAGGAGGAGACCGTCACCTACAGAGAGGAAGAGAAGCAGAAAGAGAGGCACGCTTTATGCTGTCTGCTTTCACTGTATGTTTTAAATCCTCTATCATGACTTCACTGAACAGAATCGCATTTTGTTCACTTTTCCAAACAAAAACACACTTACACACAATAAATCACTTAGCAGTAACAAATCTTAGCACATAAATGTAGCCAGTGATAATTCTGTTGCTAATATAATGAGGAGGTATACAACACAGGAATACTTCTGTATTACTTTCTTTTTGTATTTTTATATTAAAACTAGAATGGCACTCAGTAGAGGTCATGCCTCCACCAAGGCCCAACATCCCCTTAAATTTAATCACATTTTTACTTTCATAGAAATCAGGTTCTTAAATAATCAAGATCCATGAATGATTCCCTAGGAAAGAATCCTGGACCTGATCCGGATTTGAGTTGGTTCTTCTCTGACCCATACCACACCCTGCCACCAGTTTCCTGTTGATCCACCCAGTGGTGTTTGCGTTATCTTGCAAACAAGAAACCAAACTGTATGAATTGAGACCAAATATAATGAACATTAGTCATTATTATTAATACATATTATGTTACTGTCTCTTACAGTAGTTAATCATTAAAAATGGGTCTAAACCTCTCATTCTGGATCTTAATATATGGCAGAGGGAGAGACCTGTCTTTTAACAAGCACATTATTCATAATTATTCCCTCTCCCACTGCCACAATATTTTTTTATTCCAGGTTTTATTTTCCTGAATAGTAAAAGCAGCTTGTTGTGCAGTTCAGCAGCTAATTTGAAGATCTCAGATGTTCAGATTTTCTTTCCCTGGAGGCCATGTTAGATTCATGTCCTCATTAGTTCAAAGTTATGTGAAGAGCTGTGGGACTTACTGCTGTGATGAGTTCAATGACAAACCCTGAGTTTGTGCAGGCCACTCTGTAGTTCTTCATTACATGTCCTCTGAAAAACACAGGGAGGAGAACAACCAGCTGTCAATACATTGATCCCTTTTAACTGCAGCTTCTCCTGGTTACTGATGGTTCGAATCAACCTTCCCAATGACACACCTGTAGTTTCAGTCCACATACATGTTTCTGCAGAACAGCAGATTATAATAGGTCATTGTGACCTTCAACTCTAATCAAGTCCTGTTTGAGTCCAAGTGAATATTGGAGTTTCTCTTCCTGTTCCATGTTTGATGGCTCACAAACACTGAAATAAATTAATATTTATTGGAAAAGTTAAGTTAAATATAAATTCATATATTGGTCTGTAATTTCAAAGGCTGAGATGGACCTGGGTGTCAGTTGTCTGAGGGTCACAGCGTAGTTGTTTCTCAGGCTGGATGGGCGGAGGAGGATGCCTCCATTTTCTGGGTTTGCCTCCAGCATCCTCTCAGCCTCCTGCCGCGTCACATCGAAGAAGCACCTGCAGGATTAAGAGAAAAAATAAACACTTGGTAAAAATATGCAGATATGTCGTTTCAGAGAGCAGGGGACAGAACACAGACAAAATGTTCATCAGTTTAGGAGAAAACAAACTGTCAGATATAGAATGCTTGACTATAAGAACTATTTATTTGTATGTTTTGTTCTGTATTTATCAGGGAGCAGCAATGAGGAAAGAAACTTTTTCTCACGCAGGCAGATCAGGGGTGATGTAGTCTGGTTGGTCATCAGCTGGTTGAGAGGAGGATGACGACGAGGACGAGGGGAGGAAGGATGGTCGGGGCGGGAGCGGCGGATGTGACTCGGTGGAGTTTCTCCTTCTCTCCCACTCCAGAGCCTCAAGCAGCAGCATCATCTGTCCAGGCAGCAGCTGCAGGTCACCGGGGATCTCCTTCTACAAGGAAACATTAAAAAAACTTTATCCACACATTAAAAGTGACGCCCAAATGTTAATCACCCCTCGTGCCGATGTAACATGACGCTGAATAATGTTGTGAGGATACTATAGATGTGACCTAAAGCTTGTCTATCATTCATGATCATATGGTAGGAACTGTGTGTGTGTGTGTGTGTTTACTTTGACCATAGTCAGGATGTAACCCCTCCACTCCTCTCCTGTGAAAGGATTGTCCATCTGCACAAACAAAGAAAAAACAATCTTTTCTTTATTTCAATCAACCAGGCGACTGTGGTTAGTGTGAGTTGAACATTAATAACACTTTATGTAGATCTATCTAGTTTTTGAAAAAAAATCTGGACTTGGAGGCTAAAACCATGTGAATGAAGACAAAAAGAAAAATCTTTCTCACCTTCAGCTGCACCTCCTTTGTGAGCAGGCTGAGGGTGAAGATGGTCGGCTTCTCCCTCTGATACGGACAATTGGACTCCATGGACATAAGCTGCTCCAGCTCCAGCTTCTCTGTGTCCTGACAGAGGAAACAAACTACATGTATTCACTGTTCTGTTGCTTCTTATTGCCCCTCAACAGTGTTCCCTTTCTTCATAATGTCAGTGTTACGTTATCTGAATCTAAATAAAGAACATATAAAGTTAAGTAAGAAGAGCAGTTTGCTTACTGTATCCTGTGATTCATCCTCGTACAGAAACAGCGTGGCTCCACGGAGCTCTCCATAGTAATTCTTGAAATCCTAAAAATCACAAATGTCTTTTTCAATGAATGTTCTTCAGCTTTCACCTTCTCACAGTGCTGGAGAATGACTGGTTTATTCACTGACACATTTTTCTTTAACTTTATTCTCAAACGTTATTGTAGTTTTATTCAGGTTTTAGTAGTTTTTTCTCCAGCTGTAGTTACTATGTACTTGTAAAATTTGACATGAAAATATCTTTTAACTTATAAAGAATTCTGTATTCACATTCACTGCCCTCACATATGAAACTGAGTTAAATGCAGTCATCTTTACCAAACATATTCTTAGACACTGAGATTTCACATCTTTGCATGGACGATCATTTGTTTAATCTCCTGCTTATCTGATTTTATTTCTAATCATTTTACTCTGTCTGTACTCTGTTTCCCATCTTTGTCCTCACCTTCTCAGCTGTGTTTTTCTTCTGCAGGTGTCCAGAGTGGTACAGAGGCAGAGCTGTGATTGTCGTCCTCCTGTGGTGGACGATTCTGGTAGGAGCAGACATTATGTCTCCGCTGGTCTGGTTCAGTTTTGCCTCTGCTCACTTCTGTTTGTCCAGCAGTATTGTCATTAATGCAAAATAAATAAAGTGATGCTGAGCTGTGTTTCCAACTGTTTCCTCCACTTAGTGTTTCTTTGTGCAGCTCAGGTCTTCAGTGTATCTGAGATGATTATTCTTCCCTACAAACCTGCAGTGATGTTTTGTCCCCTCTCTTCCTCCAGTTTTTACGCTGTTTGAGCTCGGAGAATGAGGAAACTAATCAAGGAAGTAACTAGTTTTGTATAGAAATCTACTAAGAACACATTTCAGGACTTTGACCCTGCAGCATAAACAAACAGTTTAACACACACACACACCAAGCCAGATTAATTATTTTCATTTAAGATGTGATGTGAGTAAACTGAGAACTTTTTTGGAACCTCATTATCAGTGTGTTGTTGTGTGAGAATCAGCTCAGTGCACAAGAACCGTTAATCCTTTTTTTCAGTTCTGCACTTTTACTCTCATTGTTTTATTTTAGATATCATTACGAGTATTGTTGTTCTTGTTATTATTATTATCATCATTATTTCTGGATTCAGCAACAAGACTCAATGTGAAAACAGCACAAATTCAAACAACTGTATTATTTACCAACAGTTTCCAGCACAAGTAATTCCCGATGTATAGATGTCAGATTCATGTGTGTGTGTGTGCTTATATACATAATCACAATGAAAACATTTGCCACCGGGAGCCTGTTCTCCACATGCCTCCTGCAGACTAATGCCCACTGCTGGTTAAAGATTTCTCTCTCAGCTGCTTTCTTTGACCCTCACCGTCCCTCCGGCAGCTCCCATTGGCTCCTTTAATCCCTCAGCCTTGAGGGCAGGCCAGAGAGACGCAAGCCGGGGAGAAAACCCAGCCACTGTTCTCCATCATGGGGCCGCTAATGATGCTCCACCTCCACCACTGACTGGGGAGAAAATGGCCACAGGGGTGGCAGGGACAGGGGATAATACATTGGATTGATGATGCCCTGTTACGCCTCTGAAATAGCAGTATATATTTTGAGCCCAGTTTATGTAAATAAAAAGTCAAAAATGAATCAGGTTATTTCAGATTTATTTGAACTCACTAGCAAAGTGTGATGACGGGTTCTATCTTGATCTATTACTCTCATTATACACAACATTTCAATCAATCCAGTTGTTGTTTTGGCAGAAAAATCAATGGTTTTCTTTCTTGTGGGATATTTTAGATCGTCCTTCAGCTTCAATAACATCAAGACCCTAAACAGGAGAGAATATCCTTAGAGAAAACACACTGAAGCTTGACTGACAGCAGACACAAGTGATCTATTTTGATGCAGACTGACCTCTTGGCTCTGGATTATGATTGGCTGGCAGGCCGGGGTAAAAGGTCAGGCAGTGGTCAGAGTGCTGCCATGTGTCAGGACAGGAACGTGGCTGATCGTGGTACAGGAAGCAGGACAAGTCCCTTCCTGGAAAACAAAACCCTTACAGTCCACATTCACTTTAATCTCAATCTCGCTACTGTGACCTTCCCTCGTCCTAATTAGAGGAATGACAAAATACATGCATGTGTGTACACTCCCATGTGCAACTGTGTATATTTATCAGCTTGATCTCCAATTCTAATGGTTTCCCGTGATGGAGGAGTAGAGGTGTAAGCAGGCCTGTAATGAGAGGCAGAGGTGAGGGGGAGGCAGGGAGGAGCACGACGCCTGCTGGCTGAGAGGACAGAAGCCCCGGGCAGTGAGGTGGAGCTCCTGCTGCGGAGGTTGTTTCATTCAGACTAATATTAACACAACACCCTTAGCAATACTCGTCTGTCTGCTGTGTGGTCTGATACAGAATTGACTGTAATCCCTGTCCTCTCTGGAAGTAATTCCTTCTTCACGAGAAGTTTTAAATTCTATTTTATTTTATGTAAGATGTTGAAATAAGCTCTACCACAACAACGCAAATGTGCAACATGACCTGGAGGAGCTCCTGACAAAAAATATGAACAATGTTAAGACAGCTTGTATAATAAAATCATGACAGTGTGAGAGTGAGTGAGCATAGACAATATAAGGGCTCTGAACTGAAGCAGCTAAATTGGAATCAATGGCTTTTTTACTGTAACGTGTCTAAGTGTATTCATAAAGAAGACCCATCAAACAGAATCAATCATGTTCACTGATTGTTTTACCTTCTTTATATTTGCCACCACACTTTCTGATTCCAAGTATCCCACTGATGGAATAGGTGGACTCAGGGGACTGGACTGTTCCCATGGCAACAGATGATGCTGATGACACTGCAGGGGCAGAGGTCAGTGTAAGGAAACATTAGAACGAGGCAGGTAGATCAACAGTAAGGAGGAGGGACAGAAAAACTTACCAACTTCACAGGATGCAGATTGGACTTTGCTTCTTATGATTCTGTAAAGACAGAGAAGGAACTCACTCAACTGTTAATCATCACACACACACACACACACACACACACACACACACACACAGTTCTCTGTACCTGTTGATGGAACTGATGCTTGGCACGCTGGCATGGTCACACACTCGCTCCAGCACCAGCCTGTCTCTGATCTCCCAGGCGAACATGGCAGGGTTGGTGAGTTTCCAATGCAGGATCATCTGCACAACTCTGGGTGTGGCCACTTTGGGTTTAGAGCCTCCAATCATTCCTGGTCTGATGCTCCCCGTCTCATTGTACCTGAATGAGCAATTTCGATATCTGTCAGTAGAGGTTAACATCTGACATGAGCGGTATACAGTGTATGAGTTGGACTAAAGTGAGAAAAAGCACTAAGCACTCCTCTGCAGATTCAAAGACAAACACATCATCTTGAAAGAAATACAATTCTGAATAATGCACCTTGGGATGGCTGCATGTATATTTCTATGTATAAATCACTGAGCTCTTTATTAGGAATACCTTCAGCCCAGCTTATAATGCAGTTATCCAACCAACCAACCAATCATATGGCAGCAGTGCAATGAATAAAATAATGCAGATGATGAATGGCCTGATTAATAGTGACACACACACACACACACACACACACACACAAACACACACACACACACA